GTTTCCGTGGTGGCGGGGTGGTGGGGAGCCTGCCTGCCGAGGCAGGGGACATGGGTTTGTGCCCTGGTCCGGAAGGATCCCGCGTGCCGCGGAGCGGCTGGGCCCGTGGGCCGTGGCCGCTGGGCCTGCGCGTCCGGAGCCTGTGCTCTGCAACGGGAGGGGCCCCAGCAGTGAGAGGCCCGCGTACCGCAAAAAAAAAAAAGAGTAACTTTCTCACTGCTGGATCCTGTATTGTTTCCTTTCCTGTTCCTCCACTGCCCAAAATCATGTCGCTGTGGCCCACACAGTGTGGGAAACTAGCACTGGGGAGGAGTACTGGGCCAAGAGTCTAGTGTCTTGGTCCTGGTCCTGCCACTGCCCTGCCAGCGGGCCTGGGGCCAGTCCCTTCCCTCTCAGCCTGATTTCCCTCTTGGAGAACCAGAGGGTTGGACAGATGGCACGTTTTCCTGACACTTCTGCTGATTCCCCCATGGTCCTTAGGGGCTGCCAGGTCCTTCGGTCAGAGCTGGTCCCACTTTTCACCCAAATTCAGCAGTCTTGTTGTGCTCAGTAATCCAAGTTTATGGAGACAAGGGGCTGCCCGAAGGCCACCTCCAAGGGTTTCAGCTAACTCTTTTCTTCCTCTTTCCAAAGCGATGCCACTGGAGCGACATGTTCACGGGGAGGCTGCGGTCTGAGATCCCACCTGCCCTGGTGAGTGAATGGGGCCTCTGCTCGTGCCGCCGGTTGCAGGGACCCCTTTAGCACTTCCCAGGACTTCTTCTCACGGCCTCTTCTTTCCGGAGACTGAGTGCCCTGTGGGTGCCTGAGATGCTGAAAAGGCAGCCAGGCGAGGACAGCTTCTGCCTGTGTCCTGACGAGCAGGAGCCAGGAAGTGAGGACTCAGAGTCCCTGTGAGACCGGGCGGCCCGGTGACGGGAAGTTCAGCAGACACTTCCCAGGGTTCACACCTGAGCTTAGTGGTTTCGCCCGCAAGCAGCATGGATCTTACTCCCTACGTGATTACCCCTCTCGTCCTGGCCCCTCTCTCCCCTGCACCTTGTGGTCCCTCTCGACCTCATTCTGCACACAGGCTGTCTTGGCTGCCCCGTCTCCCTCCGGCCCTTCCCTTTCTCCAATACCACTTTTTTTATATTTTAACATCTTTATTGGAGTATAATTGCTTTACAATGGTGTGTTTGTTTCTACTTTATAACAAAATGAATCAGTTATACATATACCTATATCCCCATATCGCCTCCCTCTTGCTTTTCCCTCCCACCCACCCTCCCTCCCTATCCCACCCCTCTAGGTGGTCACAAAGCACCGAGCTGATCTCCCTGTGCTATGCGGCTGCTTCCCACTAGCTATCTATTTTACATTTGATACCACTCTTTTTGCTTTGGTTCTCATCGTGGGTGGCTTCCCTCTGCCTGTTTTCCATTTCCCCATTCCTGGGGCTCAGCTCCTCTTGGGTGGAGCTCCCAGCCTGTGTGTGCACAGGCACACTTGTGGGAGGGGTGGGAGGGGTCACAGGACAGAACATGGCTCAAGGGAAGGGGGCGGGGCTGGCAGCGGGCAGCCTCTCAGTGTATCCTCCTAGCCCAGAGTGTCCTCGGGGCGAGGTTTGTGGTCAGTTGTTGGCACGATTGTCCATGTGCCGGCGCTGCCTTCTCAGGCCTCCATTTATCTAGCCGGCACTGGTGCTCCTGAGATGCCTGGGCACCAACCTCCTTTCCAAAGCAGTTCAGTCCGGCAGACAGTTAAGGGTCATCCAGGTTGTGACAGGTGTCCCCATGAAGGCCCTGGAGGGCGGGCTCCCTGGGTGGGGGATTTAGGAAGCCCCTGGAGAGCTGCTGCAGTTAGATACCAGCCTCAAAGGATGGACGAGAACCAGGGGAGGCTGGGGTTAGAGGGCAGGTTAAATAAATTGATTTGGGTGATTTAAGAGCCCTCTGCAGGGTTTTCAGTCTGATATAACATGATCAGTTCTATAATGAAATGGTCTGTGTCTCTGCCAGTTCCCCACCAGCCTGGGTGCCCCCTGAGGGGAGGGGGTGCCTGGCATAGACGCAGCACCTGGTCCGTGTCTATGAAACGGACATGAACTCTCTCTGTGCCCAGATCTCTCTCGGGGAGGGACTCATCACAGCCGGGGCCCAGCTGGTGGAGCTGGACCTGAGTGACAACGCGTTCGGGCCCGACGGCGTGCGAGGCTTCGAGGCCCTGCTCAAGAGCTCCACTTGCTTCACCCTGCATGAACTCAAGCTCAACAACTGTGGCATGGGCGTCGGTGGCGGCAAGGTGGGTGCAGCAGCCCCCTTCCCCGCATCCCCATTGTCCTCCGCCTCCCTTCCTGCCCAGTCCCCTGCTACATTTGTGTCCATCTGAAGTATGTACCCTTGGCCACCCACCGTCTGGGATGGTTGGCCTGTTGTTTTTCTCTTCAAAGGAGAAGGGCCTCAAAGGCAGCAGCCTGTGGCCAGTGGGGAGAGGAGATGGAATCTGTGAGTGTGGGGTTGCCAAGCAACCATCCTCAGTTCTTGTGTTGCCTTGGCAACACATAGGCAGTATTGCATACGTGCTCCAACCTGCTGGCTCTGCAGAATGCAGGGCTTGGGCATCACTAGACCTGCTGTGCCCTCAGAACAGCTGGCAGAGCCGTGTAAGCCCTGGCGTGTGCACGTGGGAGAGGGAGCCCAGAAAGAGAAACCACTCTGGGAGGCCTGGGCACAGGTCACCTTTGTTCCTGGCTAGGACCTTGCGCAGGGTGCCTCCCCCATCCTGCCAGCAAGTCAGGCTGGTCCATGTAGAAAGGCACCTAGGGAGGCCAGCCCTGTTTATTCTCTTCTTGGTCCATTCTGGCTGCTTTAGGCCTAGATTCTAGAAAGGCTGAGCACCAATCTGCATTCCCATCCTCCTTCCCTCACGTTCTGACCAAAAGGAGCAAAGGGCCAGGACATAGGAACAGACAGTGAACGGAGACATCTTCTCTTTGAAGATGTTACCTTAATTCTCTCGCCCTTACCGAAAGGTGGGTGACGCTGTCGCCATGTTTTCAGATAACTACACTTGAGCTTAGCGATATTGGGTTGAGCACCCCAGATGATGTACCTAGCATGGGACGGATGTGGGATTTGAACCTGCATCCACACGGCTGGTCAGAGCAGCAAGAGGAGCCACCTACGTGATGCTCGCGGTGGCCCAGGCTGAGGAGCCAGAGGGGCCTCCCCTGCAGACAGCCTGTCTCCTGCCCGCAGGAGGGAGGGCAGGTCACGCTCGTGCACCCATCTCAGCCAGCGCTCCTCCAGTCTAGGGGGCAATAGGCTGTATGTGTTAAGACATAAAAATGTTTGCATCAGCACTGAAGACAGGTCCAGCCCAGCCCAGGGTGGGATGTGCTGGGAGAGCCACCTCTGCAAAGATTCCTTGAGGCTGGTCTACAGCAGAAGTTGGCGGTCTCTGCCCTGAGCACACGCGTGACCCACCACCATCACGGAGTCAGGCTGGTGGTGTCCCATGTCCTGTATGTGCCCCAAGAACAGAGCTGCGTGCAGGCAAACTGACCCAGCTGCCGGTCACAGCTTCTCCGCGTATTTGCTCTGGGAGCCCAGCCAGTTCATGTGCCTCCCCCTGAGCCTCGGCTTCCTTGTCATAGAGTAAGGCCAGTTCCACCTGCCTCCCAGGCCCGTTTTCAGGTTGAAACAAGGCGTGAAAGCACCTTTGCCGAGAGTGCTCCAGACCTAGTAGGTGCTCTAAACGTTACCTCTCTTCTGCTGCACTTCCCCTGAATCTTCGATGTCTCATTTACCCTGGTCTCTCCAGTTCCAACCTAGCAACCGATAGCATTTTTAAATTCCTGCTCTGTTGGTGTCACGGGAGAGAGGCTACCTCCTGGCACCACCCCAAGGTCAGGGCAAACCAGATTTTAGCATTTCACCCCCAGCAGCTGAGGCCCTGCCGTGTGGCTGGCCTGAACACGGGCGTGTGTCAGGTGGGTGCGGCGGGGCCCTGCTCTCCTCGGCCGGCTTCCCTTAGGCATCGTGGAGCGTGGAAGAGATGCTGGAAGGTCTGGAAGGTCTGGGCTCTGTGCAGAGTCTGCCACTTGCTTAGTGAATGTAGGGGCTTCTGTCGCTCTCTGAGCCTGAGCTTCAGCTGGAGAGGGAATCGCGATGGTCCCCGCCTGACAGAGGGCTTCTGACAGTACAGCGAGCTGTGAGGCCCCTTCCCCAGGACCTGTCTTAAGGTTTGCCACTCAGTGTTGGTGTCTCCCTTCTCCCGGGTTCAGGCTCCCCGTCTCTGCTGTGGGGCTAAACCCCCTGGGGTGACGGGACATGCAGACACAGTGGTGGATGTCAGAGCTCTGGTCCCTGCAGGGTGCTGGGTGTGGGCGAGGTATGACCGCTGTGCTGCTGAGCAGCTCTTCGTCCCCGTGTCCACCACCCTTGGGTTTCATGGCTTGTTGAAGACCAGGGCCTCCTGCCTTAGGCCCGGGCCCCTTGCCTTTCCCCCGCAGATCCTGGCAGCAGCTCTGACTGAGTGTCATCGGAAGTCCAGTGCCCAAGGCAAGCCGCTAGCCCTGAAGGTCTTCGTGGCTGGCAGAAACCGTCTGGAGAACGACGGAGCCACTGCCTTAGCAGAGGCTTTTGGGGTGAGTGGTTTCTGCCCGTGGAGCCCATCAGACTTGCCCTTGAGCCAGCGGGGAGGGCGGGAGCAGGAGCCGCGGCTGGATGAGGCGCCCCTGGGTGTCCTTGTCCCCACTGCTCCCTCTGCTTTGCCCTCGCTCCTCCCGGCGGGCCCAGGACACTGCTGAGTCTCTGCTCGTGAGGGGGCCGCACCTGCCCCATGGGCTAGGAAATTTGGGGTCTGTCTCCTGCTTCTCTTAATTTAAGCATTTCCTTTGGCAGACGATATTCTAGCAGCATTAACCATGCTCAGGCCACAGCAGCATCCCCCGTGGTCCTGCTGCTTCCGGCACTCCACCTGCCTCAAGAGAGTGGACATTGCAGGGGGGAAGGGCCTTGTGTCTTACTGGACCCCTGGCTGCAAGGGGCTTCTGCCCCTTCCACCTCATAGACACAGTGACGTTAAAGATTACGCCCTCTCTGCACCCCTTCCCTTGGTCGCTGTCCTCCATGTGCTGGGACGGGGTACATCGTCGTTGTGCCAGGCCTTCAGCAGGCATCCTCGGTGCTCTTAGAAGCGGGGTGGGGGGGCACTTAACTTGGGTCCATGGGATCCCACTGGTCTGTGGGTAGAATTCAGGGAGTCTTTGAACATGGTTGGGGGGATACTGCATGATTGTTATCACTACCAGAGTTAAATACAGTATTGCCTTCCACTGTGAATATAGACAGTAAACCTCAGCAGCTTTAGAAATTCCTGTAACTTTGTTACCAGGAGAAATCACAGATACTTTCCTGTCAAGTGATAGCTGTTAGAGATAGATAGAAATTTTGTTTCTCATACATTAAGGTCACAGTGATGGTACACCTAGGTCTTGTTATTCATTGCCTTAAGAGGTACATATATTACTACAGCACACATTTGGGCAGCTTCTCTTAATATTTTGATAATTGTCTTCCAAATGAATTTGCTATTCTATATAATTTAACTTAAAATTTAAAATCATCCTGAGGAGGGGAGCCCTGGGGCTTTCCCAGATTGCCCGACGGGTCCATGGCACAGAAAATATTAAGAGGCCCTGACTTGGAATGTGCCTCAGTTGGGCTGCCTGTATTTATTTGTGAACCCCCACACTGTGCTGGGCACCCAGAGACAAGAGAAGGTGCCTGGGTACAGAGTTATGCCCACCTGTCCTCAGTCCCGGGTAGCAGTGGCGATTGGGACGTGGGCCTCTCCTTGAGCTCTTGGGGGCTGTTGGGGTGCAGACGAGAAGGTGGCTTCGCTACTCCAGAGTGATGAACGCCATGACAGAGGAAGGATGAGGTGCTCTGGGGGCAGAGAGGAAGAGCCCTGGATTGTGCTGGGGGGTTGATCCAGGAAGTCTTCCTGGGGGGAGGAGGCATCCAAAATGAGAGCTGCTGAATGCATAAGGAGTCAGCCTGTCAAGAAAATGCCAACAAAATAAGGAGACAGAGTGTTCCAGGCAGAGAAAAGGAGGTGTCAAAAGCCAGAGTGAGAGAGGAAAGACCCTCCTCACCCCCAGAAAAGGATGTGGTGGTGTGTGGGATGCCAGTCATATTGTGTAAATAAGGCAGTAGGGCCCCAAGAGAGAAAGGTCAAGCAGAGCTATGTTATATAGAGCAGAGCCAGGGCTGACTGTCAGGCCAGAGCCCAGGGTCCCCACAGTGCAGAAGGTACCAGACTAAGACATCTGTGCTCAGAGCTGTGTGACCCTGGGCGGGTTACGTAGCCTCTCTGATGCCTGGTCATCTCTTACCTAGTGGTGATCCTAATCCCAGGTCGGTCTCCCTTGTGAAGTTGTGGAGAGGTGGAAGCGGTCATGCCCCGAACGGGCAGGTCCCTCTGGTGTCTGATGTGTAGTGCTGCCTTCGTGCCTGGGCCTGTCCCCCTTCCTCGGGGGCCCACCTGTCTCCCTCCTGCTCCTCACAGATCATCGGGACTCTGGAGGAGGTCCACATGCCGCAGAATGGGATCAATCACCCCGGTGTCACTGCCCTGGCCCAGGCTTTCGCCATCAACCCCCTGCTGCGGGTCATCAACCTGAACGACAACACCTTCACCGAGAAGGGTGCCGTGGCCATGGCCAAGGTGAGGGGGTGCGGCCGGGCCAGAGCAGGCCCTGGAGACTGGATCTGGCTGCTACCTTTGTGATGGACCCATCAGCAGGTGGCTGCTCTCCCTCCTACCCGCCCACCTGGTGTGTATCCCATGGGTTCAGCCATGTGAACATCTCCAGAGCGGGGCGTATGTCACAAGCTAGCCTGTGCCCTTTTGGGCAGCTCTGCATGTCCATACTACCACATCCTAAGCTGCCTTCATGCAGCCCTGGCTGTCAGCGCTGGTTTTGTTCTCAGAGGCCACTTGGAGGCTGCTTCAGCCTGTTTCCTCACTGATTCTTTCGTCAACTGTTTATTGAGCCCCTGTCTAGCGCCCAGCCCTGTACTAAGTGCAGGCCACACAGAGTTGAGTCAAAGACTCTGCCTTCAAGGAGCCCTAATCCGAGGAGGGTTGGAAGTAGCTAGTCGGCCACAGCATAGGGCCGTGAGCACAGTGGCTGCCTGGGCGTCCCATGACCCCGCAGGAGTCTAGTAGGCCTGCCGTGGGGTGTTCGCAGAGACGTGTGCAAGGGTCGGGGAGCACACAGGAAGTTCCGGTCAGACGCAGGGCAGGCTTCCTGGAGGGGTTCACATTTTGGCCAAGTTCTCTAGGACAAGTGGACTTTGTCTGGACAAGGAGGGTGGGAGGGGTGTTTCAGGCAGAGGGGTCGGCAGCACGTGGGGAGGCCCAGAGATGGGAGGAGCCATGCTCCATTGGGCTTGGTGTGAACAGGCCAGGGTTCGAGGTGTGTTGGAGGGCTGGAGGAGCTGGAGGGGGAAGGCAAGACCTTGTGGCCTTGCTGACTCCTTGAGACGTGCTCCCGTGAGTAACAGGGAGCCACGAAGGGGGCTTAGCCGGAGGCCAGGAGGCCACCTGGGGGCAACAAGAAGAGCTGATGAGTCCCCCAGACTGGATACAGGAAGGACAGGGTGTGATGACCAATATGGGGTGTGGCACCGGCTCGAGGAGGGCCCTCACCCTGGTCCTCACTTCCCGCAGACGCTGAAGACCTTGCGGCAGGTGGAGGTGATCAACTTCGGGGACTGCCTGGTGCGCTCCAAGGGCGCCGTCGCCATCGCAGACGCCGTCCACGGGGGCCTGCCGAAGCTGAAGGTGCTGGCTGGCTGGCTGCCTCCTCCCCCCGGGGTCCAGGCTCCCCCGCGCTCGGGGTGACAGCCTCTCGGGCAGAGCAGCTGTGGGGGGAGGTGGCCTGGTTTGATAGCCCGCTTCTACACCCTCCGCTTGTGACTCCATGCAAGTCTCTTCACCCCTCTGAGCTGCAGTCTCTCATTTTTCAAAAAGGAGGAGTGGTGCGGGCCATTGCAATATAGCGGAAGTATACTGCACCCTCACTAGGGGGAAACGGAGGCTTCAGGGTAGTGGCAGGCCTCCCGGCCCGTGTTTCTGTCATCCGCCTCTACCCCTTCCCATTGGTTTTTAGGAGCTGAACTTGTCATTCGGTGAAATCAAGAGAGATGCTGCTCTGTCTGTTGCTGAGGCCGTGGCTGACAAGGTGGAGCTGGAGAAGCTGGACCTCAACGGTAATAGGGGTGGTGGCCTCGGCCCAGGCCTGCTGGGCGGGCCCCGGCCCCCGTCCTGACCCTCTGTTCCCTCCCCTGCGGGCAGGCAACACCCTGGGAGAAGAAGGCTGTGAGCAGCTCCGGGAAGTGCTGGGCGGCTTCCACATGGCCGAGGTGCTGGCGTCCCTCAGGTGGGGGATCTGGATCAGTGGCTCCTTCGTTACTACTTTTATTCATTTAGAAAACGTTGGTTGAATCCCTGTGATGTGCCAGGCACTGTGTTGGGCATTAGGGATATGACAGTAAGACAGCCAAGGTTTCTGACTCATGAGACCTCGTTGCCATGGGCGAGGGATCAAGGAGTGAGACAGAATAATCAAGTTATCACATGTTTAGCAAAGAGACAAATGGGGGCTGAGATCGGTCGCCCTTTGGAGTTGGGGAGGCCTCTGAAGGGATGACCTTTGATCATCAAGGTGATGTGACAGGCACGGTGGGGCAGCAGTGACGTCGTGACGCGTGGGTGGTGGTCGGGGTGGGGGCTTGGCATTGTTCCTGAAACCAGCCTTAGAGCTTGACTGTAGGAGGAGATTGACGCAGGCGAGTGGGGCTTCCTGGGTTCGCGGAGGCCGGGGGTGGGTGGTGGGGGGCTGCCTCCTCGATCGGGATGGGAGTTGGTTCAGCCGTCAGCACCCATCTCCGCCTGCCTCTCCAGTCTCTGCGTTGGCTTCATTCACTTGTCAGGTCGTCGGTTGTGTCCCTCAGGGCCAGGCCCAGTGCCGCTGCTAGGAGCTAGGCCAAGGTGGGCTCAAGGGGCTCCCAGTCCAGGGGACATGGAACAGCCTTCCTCAGAGACAGGGCAGCCCCCTCCCTCGCCCTTAACCATAGCTTCCTGTGGTCAGAGAGATGTGGGTGGCACAGTCCCGGGCGTCTCAGCCTGGGCAGTGTTCCTGCCAGGCCCTGGGCCCCAGCTGTGACAGGCGGTGTTCTTCATCTTCTCTCTGTCCCCAGTGGGGCCGTGGGTTCCTTTGGGACAGGGACGAGATCGAGGTCTTCCTTGTCTGCAGCGTGGGCTTCCCTGGGTGATGAGCAAGGAGGGGTGGGCTCCCTGGTGACTCTACGTGTCCCCACCCTGGCGGCAGCTGCGCCCCTTGCCCTGTGCAGGCTCCTGCCCGGCTGGGGCCTTTGGGTTCTCCGAGCCATCGTGGGCCACTGGGCAGGGAGGGTCTGCTTTAGCCAACCCTGTCCTCTGCAGTGACGATGAGGGTGAGGATGACGAGGACGAGGACGAGGACGAGGATGAAGACGAGGAGGAGGAGGAGGAGGAGGAGGAGGAGCCACAGCGGGGAGAGCGAAGGGAGCGGCCGACCGCACCACCCAGGAAGATGCTGGATCCTGACGGTGGGGTGAGTCCTGTGGTTGCCACATCAGAGCCCTGGTCACCCGAGCATGAAATCTTGAGACGTTTTTCACGGGGGTCATGGGTGTGGGATCCTCTTAGGCAGTGACTGCAAACTAGTTTTGACTGCACACTCTTTGTGGAAAGAGGAAATCATTCCAACGTAGTTGTATTTGTATATACCTCAGTCTAGATGTGTTTATTCATCTATAAATTATAACACACGTGACGCTGCTACATTACACGCAGTCAGTAACTGTATACTGCAGTGCTGCACGATCTGCAGCTGGTTGAATCCGCGGATACAGAGGGCCAACTGTAAAGTTATATGTGGATTTTCCACTGTGCTGGGGGTATATAAGTATTTCTAAAAGAATAGGGTAAAAAACAAACATAACTAGAAGTTTTTTTCCTACCCATCTTGGTGACCCATAAGGATGGCCCCCATTCCAGAGACTGGCTGGCTCGGTGACTCAGCTTGGACACTTGGTGTTCCTTTCCTGGCCGGGAGGCTGGTGGACTCAGGGCTGCCACGTCTGTTCCCTCAGAGGTTCCCAAATAAAGCTTCGGGAGGACTTTGGGTTGGACAGATTCAGCAGCTGTTGAATTTGGCTTATTGTCCAGTTTTATGGAAGCAGTTCCATAAATGGCTGGGCGTCTTTAGTTCTATGGGCACCTCTGGGGCTCGCCAGCAGTGCTTACCCCGGGCTGAGGCTCTAGTTCCTGGTGAGGCCACTTTAGCCGTGGAGTCGTTTCTGCAGCATCACACGTCATGGCGAGGATCCACTTGGCTGCACCAGGCTCTTGGAGTCTGAGGGAGGTGGCTTGCCCCGACCCCAGAGGCTCTTACACAAGGAGCCGACCAGGGCCAGCATCTGTGGGCACCCCACCCTTGGGGAACTTTGGGGAATTCTGGACTCTGAGCCTTGACTGGCCTGCATGAGGGGCGTATGTTCTGGGTAAGGAGTCTGGATCTGGACCTCTACAGAGCCACCTGTGCCACCTGTCCCCCAGGAACCAGCTCCTGTCCTGTCCTCCCCGCCTCCTGCAGACGTCTCCACCTTCCTGGCCTTCCCCTCCCCGGAGAAGCTGCTGCGCCTCGGGCCCAAGAGTTCCGTGCTGATAGCCCAACAGGTAACAGCACTTCCGACACCACACCTGCTCCGGCCTTGGCTTCTGGAGCTGCCAGAGCAAAAGTTGAGGCAGAGCACAGGATTTGGGGGG